TTCTGGAAATAATTTGTCAGGATATCTTGATTTCCAGAACTTTGTCAAATCTGTTGATGTGGTCAACAATTCATCCGAAAGAGCAATGAAACTCATTCAAGACAATGCGGAGCACATCAAGAGTGAACAAAAGCTACAGGATCTACTCCAAATGAAGAATACTTAGGAAAAAAATAGGAAAAAAGTCAATAAGTCAACAAAAAAAGTACGAGCACCACTTCAATGTTTCACAGTTTTTGTTGCTCCGAATTTATTTCCTCTAGATAAGTCTCTTATCTGTAAGAAATTGTAACATTTCATATTTGTCAATTAGGACTAAAACAAACATATTAGAAAAAAAATTAAATTGTTTGAAATATAGCTACTATGGGCATCAATAGTCGAAATTCGGTATAAAATTGGTCAAAAAGATCAAAAAATAAAACTTTAAATCAGTGGGGCAGATACTATCAGTCATCCCAACCAGAAAAAGTATTTTCTTATATATATAAATATGATATCTGTGCCACTCATTTACAATACCATGTAATAAAATTTTAACATGACTAACTAAATGGATATCCATAACACACGCTATAGTAGATAAATGTGAAAATGCTTAAAAATGTCAAGATGAACTTAAAAATTAAAGTTAAGTGTAGTATTTTTATATTCACTATAAAGTCCTTATGGGACATAGTTTTCTGATTAGCCATTATTGTCTGAAATAAATTAGCAATATATAGACAGCTTTTTGCATTTCTCAAACATATCTAAAAATATAATATATTCTTTTTTCTAAAATTATTTATTTTGAGACTTAATATTGATGAGCCATTTTGAGACACTTAATATTAATCTAAGATTAACAGCAAATAAAACCATAAAGCTAAAAATGCAAAGATTTTAAATTTATAATAACTTTGTGATAAAATTGAAATATTTTATATTAAAAATAAATGAAGATTCCTGATATAAGTAATCAAAAATTCTAATAAACAACTTTTATAATTAGGTTTCAAAACTTACTTTAGTTTTGAAACCTTTTATAATTAGGTTTCAAAACTTTCTTTAGTTTTGAAACCTTTTATAATTAGGTTTCAAAACTTTCTTTCTTTAGTGAAAAATAAATTTAGTCAATAACGTAGCTTTTTTTTTTAAAAAAAAAACACTTAATTTGGTCATAGTGTAGCAAATACTAAAATAGAATTAGGTAAAGTAAAGGGTAAACATAAAATATATTAAATACATTTTTAAAACACACAAGCTCCCTATATGTCAAAGTCTAAGATATAAGTTTTTTAAAATTAATAAATATATTCCCTAAACAATGATAATATTTTATTTGATAATTAAAATAATTGCAAGCTTTTAACACAAACACTTATAAGTATCAGGAATAAATAATTATCAAGATAAGTACAGATAAGTATCAGGTATAAATAATTCTTTAGCCAATCACCAATATTGATGTTTTTAGTGACTTGTATGTGTTAAAACAAATAATTTCTAGAATGCAAAAAATGTCAAATTCACTGCTCATTGATGTTAAGCTTTGAAAAAGCATTATTAATGTGAAAATAATATGAGCAAGTTTCTTTGTTAGCAGGACTTTTTTTAAATCATTTAGCAAGTATTCATGTTTAATAGTAACTGCAGTGTCAAAAAAATCCTGGTTTCAGCTCAGTCTCATGAAAACAAATGTTTTTCAATTTATGTTTTTCAGTTTTTTTTAATACTAAAAAACAATTTCAAAAAGTATAACTATTCGGTTAGTAATTAATCTCAAATTTGAAAAAACATTAATTTAAGGGTTGTAAACAGTTTAGTTATAATATGTTATTGTTAAACAGAATGTTTTGAATACTTTAGGATAAAAGACTTATTTTTATACAAGCATGCATCTTCAGTTAAATAATGAAACAAATATAAAATATAATTGTAAAAATGATTTCACCATCAGTGAAATCATTTTTATCACCATCACCATCATTGAAATCACAACCACTATTAGTGAAATCACCATCAATAACATTAAAATCACAATCAACATCATTGAAATCACGATCACCATCATTGAAATCACAATCACCATCAGTAAAAGCATTTTTATACTGGCTGCCTGCACCATCAGTGAAATAAAGAATCTTCTGAACTTGTGGATATTCTTCATAAATAAAAAATATGATTCATTTGGTTTAAAATTTTTTTTTTTTTTCTTTTGGTTTTCAGTTTTTGTCTTTTTGTCTAGTTTGCTGACAAATCATTTAATTATTTTTAAATTTGTTTTTTTCCAATGACAATTCTTACATTTATAAAACATTCATGCTTTATGTTCTAATGAACATGCATCAAAAGCCAGATCTTTGAACTTTAGTTAATTTTCTAATACGTTTACTATGATTTGAATTTTGATGAAGGATATACCAACGACTGTGTGTGTCCCAGATTTTCTAGCAAGTATATAATGCTGTGACCTTAAAATAGCAAATAATGTTCTAATAACCATTGCATACTGATTCTTCTAAAATTTATAGTAACGTTTTGAAAGATTGCATAATAAAATTTGCTTTTGAATATGAAAAAACTACTAAAATCTTTATGCTACTATAGTTCTTTGCTCTTGGTTGCTCTTGCTACCTCATAAAAGTTGACAAGTTGGTCACAGCATGACCTATGACATAGCTTATATAAATACTACATTGATAAATTATTTAATAAATTGTTAACTGTGGTGAGTACTGTAATGGAAATTTTGAGTGAGATGGAATTGATTGGATTATGGAATTGATTTTGTGAATAATGGATTTTTTGGATGTTGGATTGGATGGAATTGGTTTTTTAAGTGAGATGGAATTGATTAGACTGACTGGACGAAAATTTTTTGAGTGAGTAAAAGCTTTGATGGAAGTTTTTAAGGTCAACAGGTCCTCATTAAATATGCTTGTAAAAATATTGTATGTTTTCAAAATATAGAATGGATTGCAGCATGTACTATTATGATAAGCTTTAGTTCAATGACATAACTGAAATGAACTGCAGTAACAATGTTTTTGAGCAGAAAAATATCTGACAAATAAGTGTTATATATTTTTATACAACAAATAAGTTACTATATTATATACCCTTTACAAATATACATTTGCAAAAAGGTGTAAAATATGAAACAGTTGTATTTATAAATAGATGTTTGCATTCTAGAAAATTGGGTCTAATGGTCTTATTTGCTTATAATCTTAGATCAATACAAAAAGTTAAAAATATTTATTAAAAAAATAACTTATAATGGCTTTAAAAAAATTGACTTTTAAGCAAATGGATTAAGGTTTGTGAAAGGATTATTTTATGCTTCAAAATTTATGACTTAACTCAGTGTACTGTTGCAAAATAACTTGTACATAAAATATTTAGTTTATTAACTTTTAAAATATTTATATAACATGAATATTTACATAAAATATTTAGTTTAATAACTTTTAAAATATTTATATAACATAAATATTTACATAAAATATTTAGTTTATTAAATTTTAAAATATTTATATAACATAAATATTTACATAAAATATTTAGTTTATTAAATTTTAAAAATATGCTAGTAGTACCGACAGTAGAAGTCTTAACCAATTTTGTACTGCAAAGTAGTGCAGCATAAAAAATTCTTAAAGTCTTCAAGTCATTAAAAAATAATTAACTTTTTACAGACAGGGTAGTTTTAAATAATGACATTTCTTTTAATATTTTAGTACTCAGAGATTTTCTTAATCTTATCAAAAACTGTTGGTTGATTTATTGGTTGAAACCTTTTTCTATGGCTTCATTTAGTTGTTCACTTATTAGTCTTTCTTATTTTATATTTTCTGAACTAATTTTTAAATTATGTTTATATACTTTATATGTATAAAGGTCAAATTCTAATCACTTTATATTAAACTGCATGAATAAATGAATTAAAAGGAATTATGTATTACATTAAAATGAATTAAAAGGACTTTCTAGGATGATTTAAATTTGTGACATTTTATTTAGAAACATTTTTTATTTTTAAAATTTTAAGAAGTTACAAAGGCTTTAGCTATGGTCTTTAATTTATCTTCCTTAATATAGACATCACAGCAAACAACTTAATTCAGTCCTTTGCTCTTTAATTTAATAGCCTCCATGCAAAAAGTATCTTATTGTAATACTTTTAATTAAGTAATCATAAACTCCAATGCAATGTCATTAGTTATAAGGTTTGCATCACATTAACAAGCCACGCCTACTGCTCCCTTTAATGGATGGTTGATGAAACTTTTTATGAAATTTTAGTAATAAAGAGTTCTACTTCTTAGATATTGCACCTTTCTAGAGTTCTACTTCTTAGATATTACACCTTTCTAGAGTTCTACTTCTTAGACATTACACCTTCCTAGAGTTCTACTTTTTGGATATTGCACCTTCCTAGAGTTCTATTACTTAGATATTACACCTTCCTAGAGTTCTACTTCTTAGATATTGCACCTTCCTAGAGTTCTACTTCTTGGATATTGCACCTTCCTAGAGTTCTACTAAGAACACTTTTTAAAGGTAGAAGAAATTAAGAATATAGTAAAATAAATATTTTTACAAAAATGCAAAAAACCATAAAATTTTTAGTGGGAATATTCAGAACATAGGAAAATCTGAACCATATCAATTTAGTACCGAATTGAAATAGATTGATAAAATGATACTTTATCAAATCTTTATAAATATCCTTAAAAAGCAAGCACCCAAAAATTATTTTTGTTTTTATTTTAATTAAAAAATTATATTGTATAAAAAGAATGAATAAAAATCTAGTTAGTGTTTAGGTTGGTAAAAATTTCTAACAAATCTGTTCTAACCTGCAGGCCTATAAGCAATAACAATATAATACAAGGTTTATAAGTAATACCAATAAAATACAAATATTTTTTAATGTAAAGTAAATAGTTTACCATGAAGAAATTGTTATAAACTCATTGTATTAATTTTTGTATGTAAATAAAAAAACCTACATTATAAGCCAAGCCCCATAATGCTGGTCTGCCAATAAACACAGCTTTAGCACCAAGAGCCAGTGCCTTAAATATATCAGTGCCTTTTCGTATGCCACCATCCAAATAAACATCTATCTTGCCATTAACAGCTTTTACAATTTCAGGCAATGCTTCAATCTAAAGTCATATAACATAATAAAAGTTTGTAATTAAAAATATTGTAATTATAAAAAAAAAAAAAACATTAATAGCAACAAAACTACTGAAACTTGTGAAATAAAATTTAAACTATTAATTCAAAAAAAACTTTTACTAGTTTTAAATTTTTTATTCCAAATACAAAAATAAACATAAAATTATATTTGCATGTATTAAATGCAAAGCAATTAGGTACTTTTTCTATTAAATAATGAGGTTATACAGGGTGTTTGACAGCCTGATGGCACTGCACTCATCAAATTGGAACCATCCTCTGATTCACCTTATCATCTACTTACTACTATCCTAAAGTTGACTGGGATTCTTTTCATGGTTTTCTTCGCGAAAGTCTTCGGGCTAATGTCTTTTCTCTCTCCGCTGATAAATGCACCTTCTACCTAACCTTCTACCGCGTAGAAATGGAAGTTTTTATTCCTTCTTGTCAGTTCCAAATCAAGCCTCATTCTACACTATGGTTTCATCTTGTATATTTGCTTGATCTAATCGTAATCATTTTTTTAACCATTCTGACCCCAATACCCAACTATCATCTGATCATTCTATCTTTTATTAACAAGGTCTAAAAATTATTGATCAACAAATTTCTAACATTCTATCTTGATTCAAATAACTTACTGTCAGACAATCATTATGGCTTACAACCCTCTTGCTCTACAGACTTGTTAACTGTTGTGACTGAAAGATTTTATCATACATTAGATGGAGGCAACAAGGCAAGGGTTATTGTTTTTGATGATGAATGGCAAAAGATGAATGGCAATTTATCTATATAAGAATGTCAACAGTATTTTTCAACATTCAACAACAATCTCAGATTATTGTTCTGACGTAGTGAATAAGTGAATAAGACTTAAGAAGTTCACTACTCTGATTACTCATGGAAACAACAAAATTTTTTTCTCGTTTCCGGACTTCTGAACCTGCACAAAAAGATTGCTAAAATAGCATCTGCTACGGTTACTTCTCTTTATTGCTTGCCATTTTCTTGCTCCTGATTTCATTTTCTACAAATCTATTTTACAAATCTCTTATTTGCCCCTGTATAAAATATTGATGTTATTTTTGGGCTGGTTCTTTTAATAATGCTTTTTTTTTTCTAGACAAGGTCCAAAAATACATTGTAAACATAGTTAAACCTGCTTTATTTGCTAATCTTGAACCTCTCTCCCATCATCGTAAAATTGCATCCACTTCTCATTCCTACAAATTCTATCAAGATCCCTGCAAATTGAGCTATCATCTTTAGTTCCATCAATCAAAACTCATTCTTGCTTGACTTGTCATTCAGCAAAGTCTCATTTTTTTACTGTATCTGACATTGCATGCTCAAAAAACTTTTATTCATCTAGTTTTTTTCCTTGCACTTCAATCCTTTAGAACTCTCTCCGGCCTTTTTGTTTTCATGACTCATACAAACTTTTCAAGTTTTCTGTCAACTGTTTCCTTGCTCTATAACTCTATTCTTTGTTTTCTAATAACTTCCGTGGAGTGGCTGCTTACAGCCTTGTTGCAAGTGAATCAGATTTTTTTATTTAAAAAAAAAGGATGAAACCATGCTGAATGATGAGTTAAACAATTTCTACAGTTGTTTTACAAATCTCAAATAATTATTTCTGTATATAACTATAATTTAATAAAAATTATTAATTATTTTACTTTTAAGTCACTAACTAAATCAAAGTTACCAACTAACTTGTTAAATAATGTAAAATTAGACTTTTTCCAACTGACATGTTACAGTGTTATGATTGTAGTGCTTTAAATGTAATATTTTTGTAGTTTAAAACTAAGAAATAAGTTATATTATACTGCAAGTGAAAATAGAATTTTAAAAATGAGCATAAAGATGAGATGTATGTATAAATAAATATGTTCTGAAACTCAAAATGCTTCGCAAGTTTTTCAATTGATCACCTTTCAAGAGTTATTTTTAGTAACTGAACTTTTTTTTTTTTTGCATACATTTTTATATTTTCCTTTATTGCAAACTTTGTTGTAATTATTACATTTTACGCACTTTGGTTAGTTTATGTATTAATTATCTATTGTTTATCTATTGATTATCTTTTGTTTATCTATTGATGAACTATTGTTTATCTATTGATTATATTAGGTTTATCTATTAATTAACTATTGTGTATTTAATTATTATCTATTGTTTATCTATTGATTATCATTTGTATATCTATTGATTACCTATTATTTATCTATTATCTATTGTATATCTATTGATTATCTGTTGTTTACTATTGTTTATCTATTGATTATCTTTTGTTTATCTATTAATAAAAAAAAATTTTGTCATACTTGTTATAAGATTTTTTTTATATCCTAGCTCTTCACAAGTAATTTTTATAAAAAGTTTATATTTCTATATCTTTTTTTGTATTTATAAGTTTTGTTTGTATAAAATTTGTATGCATAAAATTTGTATATTATATATTTTATTTTATTATAATAATATATTTTATTATAATATTATTACTTTTAATTGGTTAGCATAATTCAAACATATTTTCTATGGCAATGTTAGAGTTTGTAATGTTTTGTTTGGCTTTCCGATTTCGTGCATTTTATTATTGTCAAAAGTTTATTTCATGAACATAAATTAGTGTTTTAACTTCAAGCAAGGTAAGGGTTTTTAATTTTTTTATAAAATTTAAAGTCACTTTTTTATATTACTTCTTCAAAAATATTAAAATTTTACAAACTTTACGTATAGCTGGTTATTATCTATATGTAAAGAAGGTATTTATCTACATCTTTAACAAAAGTTGAAGATGTAAAAAAATTAATTTTTTAGACAATCTTAAGTTAAATTAAAACAAAATTTGAAATCTTATATAAAAATAATATAAAATTAGAATTATATAAAAATTGAATTTTTGGATAAACAGATGCATAAGTATCTGGATATCAAAAATGCCATAAGAATATGATGTTAAAAAAAAATGCCATAAGAATATGATGTTAAAAAAAAGTGCCATAAGAATATGATGTTAAAAATTAATGTCATAAGAATATGATGTTAAAAAAAAAATGTCATAAGAATATGATGTTAAAAAAACAGAATATAAAGAATTAAAGAATAAGTATTATTACTGTTGCAGGACATCCATCCAATTGTCTTCCACCATGATTTGAAACAATAATGCCTTGAATGTCATACTTTAGAGATTCAATAGCGTCTTCTTTCGTCAAGATGCCCTTCAAAAAAATAGGTAAGCTGGTTATCGATCGAATCCATTTTATAGAATCCCAATTAATGCTTGGATCTATTTGTTTATTTACATATTCCATTAAACCAGAACTATTTTCACTAGAAATTTGGTGACCATCATATCCTTTTAGATTTGCTAATTGAAGATGATCGGGTAACTTAAATTTATGACGAACATCTGCAATTCGTTGACCAAGTTTTGGAGCATCAACTGTAAATAAAATTGCTTTATAACCAGCCTTTTCAGCCCTTTGAATCAACCATTTAGATAGTTCTTTATCCTTATAAACATATAGTTGCATGAGTAAAACTGCATTTGGTGCTGCTGCTGATATGTCTTCATAGGAAGTTGTTGAAAAAGTGCTCACTCCCATACTCGTACCAAACGAAGCAACAGCTAAATTATTATTTTAAAACTTTCATTAAAAATTTTGCATAATATATTCATATATATTTGCTTTTACATACATATTAAGGTAGATCATAAAAACATTTTGTTAAAATTAATACATTTTCAGATTTCGATGTAAAACTGAATTTTAATGTTTCTTTTTTACATGTTAAAGATGTTTTGGCAGCAAAATTTATAATTTAAAAATAAATATATTTGACTAGGGAATAATCTAATCATTTTATGAAAAAACAACAAAAGAATGAATATTTAAAAAATTTAAAGCTTCTACTTTTGATTAAGCACACCCTGTCAAATTTACAATCAACAAAGAGCAAATATATTGGGGTGTTTATGCAAAACTAGCATAAAATTTTTGCTGCCAAATATTATTTTTTTAAACATAAAAAATTAACATCATTATTTTAGTGTAGTAGTTAGAGTATTATAGATTTACCTCGTGTGTAAATAAAAATAAATATTTGACATCAGATTATGGTAATGAACTGTTTTAGAAAAAAAAGATGCATATGTTATTTGTGTTCATTAACACCACTATATGATTTCTCTACAATAGTTATCAAGCCTTTGACACAAAAATCTGGTGCATTATTTGTCTAATTAGAAAGCTTAAACTAAAGGAAAACTATTCTTTAGGACCAAAGACACACAATAAAAATTCTAAAGATAGCATATCTCCCAAGCCTGAAACTTAAATCCATCCTTTTCATTAAAAGAAAAAAGATGTTAGCAGGCTTGGTCGGGAAGCGGGTGCGATGGCACTCGATAACTGACCACGGAAATAATATTTAGTTGTGAAAAACCAGCCAGATATTTTAGTCGTTTTGAGAACATTTAAATTTATTTATTAATAAATAAATCACCTAGCGTTAGTTTTATTGGTTGAATTTTGTTGGACTTTTTAGGGCCGGGGACTGCATAACTTTGGCGGCTTGTTTTATGTGCCACAGCATAAAAATGACTGAAAAAAATACCAAATGGTCCTCTTGACTATTTCGCGGCCCCTAACATTATGAGTCCCGAGGCTATAGTCCTTTTACTCCCCCACCCCTATCTCCTCAATTCAGCACTGTAAATAAGACATAAGTATATAAATAAAAATTATATATACTCTTTGATAAATCGGAGAACATTTGTTACCTTATTAAACAATCATTAATTGTAAGTTGTTACTTTATATAAAAAATGTGACTTCGTTTTATAAAAAAAATTATAAAAAAGCGACGTTTCAAAAATATTTGCTCTAATTGTGTTTATTTTGCCTAAAAATTTTTCGCGTTAAAAGCTTCTTTTTTTTTTAAACTGTCTCTCATCGGTCCAGTTAATCTTTTTGCGCTTTTTTGTTTGTTTTTGAAATGTTCTCAAAACAACTAAAAAATCTGGCCGGTTTTTCGTAACTAAATATTATTTCCGTGGTCAATTATCGAGTGCGATCGCACCCGCTTCCCGACCAAGCCTGTGTTAGTAAAAAAGCATTGTTTGTCAACTATAGCTCAAGGTTCCAATCATTCCTGTATGATCACAAAAGACTCTAAAACTTGCATGATTTGGTCAAAAAAAATCAAGTTGTACAAAAGCATATTGCATTTGCTGTGATAAAGGCAAAAAATTTTCTTGTTTCGACTCTCAACAAAGCAACAGCAACTCAACAGGTCGAAAAAGGTTTCAACCAAAAATTTAACGCTACCAGAAAGCATACAGTTGTCAGCATTCAGTAGTCAACTTTGCAACAATAAAAGAAGAAACTGAAGAACATGTTGTTCATGACAAAAACTTGGAGGATTTAGCTAATAAGGTGCTGTTGAACAGAGATTACAAACATTTTGACAAACTTGGAAAGATGAGGGAAGATCATTTTTGAAAAGGAACTTGGCTAAGGTAACAAATAAGAGTGACAAAACTAGTAGTTCTCAACAAAAAATATGTCATATGTTAACAGATTCAATAGCTCAAGACACAAGTGTTAAATGTCAGCTCATTGATGCCATTGTTGAAAATTTACTTGAAACATACAAGAATGCTATGGGGTTGATGAATGTTATTCAAGTGAATAACATTCATCAACCATACAGGCATGGCATTTTACATTTCATCTGATCTAAAAATGGTCAATACTATTGATGGAAGCCAATCCCTTTCAAGCAAGCATGCTTGCTGCTGGTGCAATGTCAATTCCAACAATTTATCATAATATAGATCTCTTAGATCTTTTGACACAGGCTTGGCCAGGAAGGCGTGCAATTTCAAGTCTTTATATGACCACGCAAATAATATTTTGTTTTGACGATTTAACCAAAGTTTTTAACAAACGTGCTGAAAAAATTGGTTTTTAATTACGTTGAAAATAAATAACTTTGACATGTTTTTCTTTACTAACGTTTTTATATTAGCAAACTTTTAAATAAAGTAACTAATGATTTTATCATTGGAAGTTTTATTAATTTTTTTTTTTTTATATTATTTAATTATATAAGATTTATTTATAAGTAAAATAAAAAAGTAAAAATTATATTAAAGATATAATTTAATTTTTTAAGCAACGGGTTTAAACAGTGGTGGTCTCTAATAAACTTTATAAATAAATCATTAAAGTTAATTCACTCGAAAAAAATAATGATTTTGTAGAGAAGGAAAAAAAAGACAAACTTTGTTATAAGCCGTTTTAATTAAATAACGTTGGTCTTTGTTTCTTATGTTTTTATATTATTAAAATGCATTTAAATAAAGTAACAAATCACTGCTAATGATTTTTTATTAAATTATTAATGAATAATAAATATATTTTTTTATATTTATACAAGTATATATTAGTATTAGTATATATAAGTATATATAATATATTTTTTATAATAAATGTCTTTAAATAATAAAAAAAAAATTATATCAACTTTAAATAAATGACTTATTTATTTTTCCTTTCGTTTAGGTTACTGCGGAGAATTGTTTAGAATCTTTTTTTTTAACTTTTAAAAGTGCACATTTATTAAACAATCGTTAGATGTAATTTGTTACTTTACTTAAAAAGGGTTTCATATAATATTATATTATAAAAAAATTAGTAAAGATAAACAATTTAAAGTTATTTATTTCAAACGGAATTTAGATAATGAAATCGTTATAGTTTATTATTTAACTCATCCTGCTCATGTTAGCAATCACTATTAAGAATAATTTTATCCATATAATTTAGTTTTTAAAAAATAGTTTAAATAAAAAATAAAAGTTTAAATAATTAGTAATTGATTGTTTTTCCTGCTTTTTTTTTTACACAAAAAATTTTATTCAATATTTCATTTTAAAGAAACAATTTGCATAATCTTATGTTTATTATTTATTTTAGTTGAGTTTTAGTTTTAGTTTTTTTTATTTTAGTTTTTGTTATTTTTTTTAAAAAGATTTATATGTTTCTTTTGCAATAAGTTTTTTTTTTAAGTTTCTTCATAGTTAAGATTATTTCAGCGCATTTTTAAACTGTATACAAATTTTTACAACATTTTAACAGCCATGGTCAAGTTTTCAAAATCAAATAGCATTTGTGTGTTCATATTATGACATTAAATCGCACGCCTTCCTGGTTAAGTCTGTTGACACATTGAAGGAAAAATATGCCGAGTTGCTAATGGCTCAGATTTACACTGCAGATTTTTTGCAAAAAATTTTGCAATTGTTTATCATTTATCATTGATCAATACGGACAACTCAGTGCTTTTTTTTAATGTTATACCGTCAATTGAACTCCATTTTTTTTTTGGAATTGTTAATCTTATTAGGACTTGTGGCCTTAAGCCGAAAGAATGACCAGCTGAGTTGCACATTCAGGATGTACACTTTGATTTTTGGTGGGTTGCCAGAAAGGTAATCAATAACCAGTTCGTTCACTGTGGACTAGAGTGACCGCCAGGGTAAGTTCCCCAGGTGTGTTCTTTTCCAATAGTTAGATATACAATATTTCTAAATACCAGTTATGGTATTTAGAAATATTGGGGAATTGAAAATTATCTTAACTGTTTTATAAAATTATAAAATTTATAGTAAGTATTCAAAATTTATTTAAAAAAATTATTTACCTTTTGCGACACCAATTTCGCCATCAGAATGTGCCATTTTTTGCATAGCAGATGGTGCAACACATATTGGAATCTTAATATTTTGTCCACAAACCTTGGTTTCTGTATTAACTTTAGAAACACCAAGCAGCACTCTCGGTCTAATTCTCAACCTTAAGAGAATATCATAAAATTTAAGAAAAAAAAAATAAATGTTAAGTGAAAAAAGAGTTTTCACTTGACATCTGGTTACAATACAGTATAATACCTTGTTTTAAATAAAAAATGACTTAGCTCTTTGGCTCCTTGTGAATTTGTCATAAAATTACCTTTATTTTTTTTTTTTAATTTAAGGACATTAACTTCTTTAACTATCACAATAAAATAAATTACAGCAAATCAAGTTTATTTTACTAATTAAGAAAAACTAATCTAGAAGTGTTATTTTCTAAATGTACATTTTGTGGGATGTCTATTTTGTTTCAATTTTTTTTTTTTTTAATATTAGATAATTAAATTTAATATTACATTTTTTATTATCATATAAATATTTTCTTTCTTTTCACCACATTTGTATAAATGAATTAAAATATCTCAAAAAAATTTTTTTTTTTTTATTATTTCTTAAAATTGCAATTTTGCAAATGAAGATTTTTTACTTTTAAAATGTTATTAACAAACAAAAAATATTACTTGTTGCTAAGAAGAAAACTCAAGTTAATTACTTTATCTGCACTTTTTTTTGTGACAAACGAAGATTTAAGTTTCCAAGTATTATTAAAAAATATATACTGTTGTGCTTTCACTTGCCTTAAGGCAAAAGAGTTAAACGTACGCTTCATAAATATTTTTAATACCATGTTATAAGTTATAACATGTTTACAAGGATTTTTTTTTTTTTTTTTATAATAGAAAAAGAAGAAAGAAAAATTGAGAAAAAAAAAAAATCGAATTTTTTTTTATTCAAATAACTTTTTTATTCAAAATTCTTTCTATACTATAAGGAATATAACTATAAAGAAATTTCTGTTTTCACTTTTTTGATATTGCATATAAAGCTGATGTAACTTGTAATTTTTAATTGATGTAATGATTTAATTTTTTTTCGCAAAATAAAATTCATAAATATTAAACAAAGACATTGCAAGAGTTACATTGCTTGCGCTTGCAAGCGTAAATTCAAGCAAAAAAAATAATAACAAAGTTATCTCAATAAATTTTTAATTATCAAAAATAAACTCTTTATAAGATGCTTTAAGTTTGTAATAATTTTTTTTCATTTTTTTGATATAACATTCATTATAAAAAAAGAAACAAACAAACAAAATTAAAGTATCAAAAATGACGCTAATATAAAATAAAATTTAATGTAAACTATTTTTTAGCTAATAAATTTTTGCTTTGTTTTTTATTTTATTTTTAAATTCAGTTATTATTTTTGTTATTGTTTATTATGAGAAATTGTTTATGTAAATATTCTTGCTATTGCAAGATGATAAATAAAAGTTTATTTATTATGTTTCTTTTATGATATCTTTTTTAAGCGTCCTATAACATTTTTTTTTCTTTTGCTGAACATTTTTGATGGAAAAGTTAGAGTAATAAAAATAAAAGTGTCTTTGTTGTTTTTTTTAACTTATTACATTTATAAATAGTGTGAATACCAGAAGTAATTTTTATGCAAACTTTTTTACGTAATTGTCATTCAAACTTTATAAGTGTTTTTATAACGTCATTTACTCAGTTTATCATATAGCTTAAAAGATATCTTTAGACTTGTTTAAATATTAAAAATGATAACAAATGGCATACATGAAATGGCTTTGTGCTTATGTTAAATGGCTTAGCGCATATGTTAATAGTGCGCCAGTTTACGCTTTAAAACAAGGCCTGTAGCATCAACAATATCAATAAAAATGTAAATTTTGAATCTCTTTATATTAATGCTGAACTTATTAACTGCCCACTGATGCGTGTTTAACACAGAACTCTTGGCAGATATTGCAACCAAAGAAATGGTAAGAAATAGTAACAGTACTTTTTTTAATAAGAAAATGTGATCTTAAAATTTAGATAATGTTTTGAATTTTTTAATTTTTGTATCAAACACCTTTACACCAACTTTTATAATTTTGTCTTGTATTAAAAATTATTACCTTATGTAAACTTCAAATTATATAATGTTAAAACATATTTCAAACTTTACTGTTTTACTTTTACTTTAAAATTGCAGCAAAATCTCCTTAACTTTGATTTATAACATTTATTTGCAATTTTATGGGGTCTTTTGTTTATACACCTTTACTACTACGCCTTAACAACCAGTGGTTAGCTCCCACCACATCTGAAGTGCATTTCCGCAGTTCAAATCCTTACATTTGTCCATTTTTTTAATCTTTTTCAATTATTTAAAATACAAAACAAAACACTTTTGAAGTTTTGTAGATATTATATACATAACATATATAAAGATATTATATACTATAACAAACAACTGAGAGAGAATTTTTAAAAAAACATAAAGAAATTTGTTGCGCATATTTCATTATAGAGATACTTATGTTATAAATGTGCCCAGGTAATTAACGAAAGTTGTCTCTTTAATCTGTGTTTAACAAACGCCTATTCGTTAAACACAGATTAAAGAGACAACTTTCTTTCTTATAGGAAAAAATACATTACATTTAAACTTTTATTTTTATTCAAAATTAGTTAACCGGGCAAGGGTCCTATTAAGCTATGGATGGTCTGAAACTTAATTAAAAAAATAATAATAAGCCTATCCCCATTTTTTCTTAAAAAAATGTACAATTTTACAATAAGAAGCAAAACAAAGGCTTTAAAGATTTTATTTTCTACTAAAAATTATTGAAATAAAAAGACTATATAAAAAACAAATATAGAATCAGTTACCATGAACCTATATTATAGGGTTCATGGTAAGTCGATCATTACATGTATTTTTATTGATATTCTATTCATGGCCTATTTCCAAATGTTTTTTAAACTTTTTATACCAATTGTAAATAATCAACACATTAAAAGCGTTCTAAATATTATTTAAATGGGTACTAATATTCGAACTGCTGATAAATATATACATCATAAATATCCAGGAATATAGATCCAGTAAACTAGGAATAAACTTGATACAGCGTTTTGAAAAAATTGGGAATTTGTTAAAAAATTTTGACAAATATACCACCACCCTTTCCCCTGAGATTAAAATGTGTACCAGGAATGTGTGAGGTCATTTTCTTATATTTTTTCATCTTCTACTACACATTAGCGCTGCATACATTTGATTGGACAGTGCCAAAAATCAAAGAAAATACCGCCAGTTTTATTAAAGATGAATATGAAATCAACACAAAATTAAATGTAGTTTCACAACAACAAGGCAAACTAAACTCCGATTTCCAAAGATATATTTAGAATTATATATTTTTACATTATAAAATCAGTGTTTATTATTTAATTATTATTAAGAATTTGATTTACTATAATTTTTAATATATCCTTGCGGCTTTCATGTTAAGAGTATTCTTTTGAATATATATATTTTTTACACTGGTGAGCATAAAAGGGCGATTATTAAAGTAATATAGGGATTTTTAAAGTAATACTTTTCAATTAATATACCGATACTCTAATTCTAATTATTATCTAAGTTCTGTTTGACATCCTTTATGGACGAACCCTTACATAATCATGTAATAAATTGTGTCATCAAAAGAAATGTTTTAAAAATAGAAAAATAAAAAAAGAGTTTGAAAATAGTAAACACAAGCTTGTAAATTTCATGTTTCACATTTATTGCGAGTTCAATTTTATAATTAATATTAACTTTCTTTATACATAAATCGCATTGCAAAATAAAGTTATTTATTGCTTAAAAGTCTCAGCAAAAATAACAACAAATGTTGTTTAATTACAAACGAAGTACAAATGTTCAGAAGTGATTGCACGCTATCGTGGCAATGAAGAATACCAATAATTATTTTTTCATGCATAGTCATAAAATGTTGTTATGACTATGGTTCATTGAAACATTTAAATTTGCTTTTGTTGTTTTTTATTTTAATTTATAGTGCCAGTTTCTTGTAATAAAAATAAACATTATTGTTATTAAAGGTATTAATTTACATTTTCATATATGTATTTAATTTATGTTTTAAATATAAGCATATTTTTTAATATCTATTTTTTTTGATAAATAAATTTCTAGAACCAGTTTGTTATAATCAAAAAACATTTATTTAACTTATTTAACTTTTTAGTCAAAACGGGCGAAACTTTTAAAAAAATAGCATTTGTTAGTGTTAAGCCAAACAAATTTTTAATTTTTTAAATTGTACTTTATTTCTTAGGGATTTTCAGAAAAATCCCAATTCTCAAAAAGTTTTTTTTGCAAGAGACATTTTTGCAGTTATGCAAGTGCGTAGTTTTTTTTTTTGTTTTTTTTTTTATTCATTTGCATTCACAACCAACAAGGCTGCAAGCAACCACTATTAAGTTGGGAGTTACTAGGAAAAAAAAGAACAGAGTTATAGAGCAAGGAAACGGTTGACAGAAGACTTAAAAAGTTGAAGGTTGTATGAGTCAGGAAAACATGAAGATGGGAGAGAGTTCCAAAGGATTGAAGTGCGGGGAAAAAAACTAGATGAATAAAAGTTTTTAGAGCATGCAGGGACAGATACAGAAAACGAATGAGACTTAGCTGAATGACGAGTAAAACGAGAATGAATTTTAGTTGATGGAACTAGAGATGATAACTCCTTTGAGCAGTGACCATGATAGTATCTGTAGAAAAGAGAAAGAGATGCAACTTTACGACGATGGGAAAGAGGTTCAAGCTTAGCAGATAGTCCAGGTCCAACAACATTTACAATGCGTTTTTGGACCTTGTCAAGAAGAGAGAGTGAATCGTTAGAAGAACCAGCCCAAATATGACAACAGTATTCCATACAGGGACGAATAAGAGATTTGTAGAGGTAGAGAATGGAATCAGAAGTAAGGAAATGGCGAGCACGATAAAGAGAAGCAACCTTAGCAGAAGCTAATTTAGCAATCGATTGTATATATGGTTTCCATGAAAGGTCAGTAGTAAGCGATAATCCAAGAAGACGTAAAGAGGACGACTCAGTAAGAGGATTGCCATTCATTAATATAG